ATCTGGAGTTAGCGGCAGTTGTGTTTGCCTTGAAGTGTTGGAGACACTATTTGTATGGTAAGAGATTCGAGGTATTTTCAGATCACAAAAGTCTCAAGTACCTTTTTTCCCAAAAGGACTTGAACAACAGACAGAGACGATGGGTTGAGTACTTGGAAGATTACAACTTTGATTTGCAGTATCATCCGGGCAAGGCAAATGTTGTAGCTGATGCCTTAAGCCGAAAATCTCATGGAACTTTGGCCAGTTTAGCTATTCGGAAGTGGAAGATGCTTGAAGACCTGACAGAGATGGGATTATAGTGTTTTGATGATGATGGTTACAGTGAGTCGGCATTCTTATTTAGTCTTGTGGCTCAGCCTACTCTTGTTGTACGAGTGATTGAGTCACAGAGACAAGACCCGGACTTAGATGCCATCCACGCTTTGATCTCTAGTGGTGAGACAGTGAAAGATTGGGCCTTGCATGCAGATGGGGGTCTACGGTTCAGGGGTTTGTTGGTGGTTCCCACATGTTGTCGTGAGGACGTCCTACGGGAGTTTCACACTTCCCACTTTGCAGTTCATCCAGGTGGTACTAAAATGTATCACAATTTGAGACGTCAGTATTGGTGGAGCGGGATGAAGAATGATGTTGCACAGTTTGTGGCTAGATGCCTTACCTGTCAGCTGGTGAAGGCCGAGCATCAGAGGCCAGCAGGTTTGTTGCAACCATTACTTGTAGCGCAATGGAAATGGGAGCATATTGCTATGGATTTTGTGACAGGTTTTCCAAGGTCACGGAGGGGCAATGAGGCCGTATGGGTCATCATTGACAGATTGACCAAGACGGCTCACTTTTTGCCTATTAAGGCAACAGACGATGCAGAGAAACTTGGTGTACTTTATGTGAAAGAGATTGTAAGGTTGCATGGAGTTCCAGTAACCATTGTCTCAGATAGGGATGCTAAGTTCACTTCGAAGTTCTGGAAAGGACTTCAAGCAGCGTTTGGTTCAGCGTTGCATCTTAGTACGGCATTCCATCCACAGACAGACGGTCAGTCAGAGCGTGCTATCCAGATTTTGGAGGATATGCTTCGGGCATGTGTACTTGATTTGGGAGGTAGTTGGGAGGATCACCTTCCACTTATTGAGTTTGCCGACAACAACAGTTATCAGGCGAGCATCCAGATGGCTCCATTTGAGGCGTTGTATGGTAGACCTTGTAGGTCTCCTGTTTGTTGGACTGAGGTAGGCGAGACAGCCGCCTTAGGACCCGACATTGTACTCGAGACTACTGAGAAGATTAAGTTGATAAGACAGAGGTTACTTACAGCTCAGAGCCGACAGAAGAACTATGCGGATAAGCGAAGACGACCGTTATCCTTTGAGGTGGGAGACCACGTTTTTCTACGGGTTTCTCCACGGAAGGGATTGATGAGATTCGGGAAAAGTGGCAAGTTGTCACCACGATTTATTGGACCGTTTGAGATTTTGGACCGAGTAGGAGAGGTTGCCTACAGGCTTGCTTTGCCACCACAGTTGGATAGGGTCCACAATGTTTTTCATGTATTGATGTTACGGAAGTACGAACTGGATCTATCTCACATTTTGAGTTGGGTAGATGTGGACATTGATGAGGATGTTTCCTACGAGGAAGGACCAGTTCAGATTCTTGACACACAACAGAAGGTGTTGAGGAACAAGACGATACCAATGGTGAAAGTCCTTTGGAGACACCACGGAGTCGAGGAAGTTACTTGGGAGCTCGAACAGGAGGTTCCGTCCAAGTACCCAGCGTTGTTTTCTTCCTCAGGTATGTCTTGATTTCGGGGACGAAATCCTTATAAGTTGGGGAGAATGTGATGTCTGTGTATTTATTGTGTGTGTGTAGTGTAATATAAAAGTAAAACAAAAATAATTTAATGGTGGGGCCCACAAGGCACTTTAGAAAAGGGTCAAGACCATAAAGTTGGTCTCATTTTCCTGATTCCCTTTCTCTCTCTCAACCCGTAAGCTCATTTTTTCTCTTATTTTTGGTTTCAACTTTGAGGTTAGATTTCTCACTCATTTCTTGTTGGAATTAGGTTCCGTTTGAGGCAAAACGAAGCTCGTGTCAAGCTCTATACATCTATACAAGCAATTTTAGATTTTGTGCCCCTTTGGATTTCGAATCTTGAGACCCATTTTCTAGGGTTTTGGTGCAATCTTGAGGTAGGGGCCCTTAATTCATGAAATCTTGTACCTTAGTGAGTTAATTGCCTCTAATTATTGTTTAATTTGATTAGTTGTTTAAAATCTAGAGAATTGTTGATATGTATGCATATATGTTAGTTGTGTGACTATTTTTGTTGATTGTTCTATGTGAAGCATGTTTAAGACTTGATTATATATGTTCATTGTGCTAAAACTTGTTATGTATAAGCATGTTATGACTTTTTTTATTATTCTTGCGAATTATGCCATGTTGCTTAAATTGGATAAAGTATGGAATGATGAACTTGTGTATGTCATTGAGGTATTCATGCATTAACATTGGGCAGGAAAAGGGAAAGAATTGATTTACTTCAAAAAGGGGAAATTTCGGGAAAGTGTTTTTGATGAAATGGTTTTATGCGAAACCCGGTCGCTGCGGGGTTACCAACGGGCCGAAGGTTAATATAGCCTAGAGGGGACTAAGGAGTCGCCCTAGTATGGTTGAGCTAGCTGGGCCCCATAATGACGCCGCGGGGTTACCAAGGGTCAGGGACACTAGCCAATCCTCCTCTCGTGTCGCGGCGGGGTTACCAAAGGGCGGGCTGTATTAACGTTTGAAAGTGATGATTTTGAGAATGAGAATGGGGAGTGTCATTGACATGCATTGCATTTCATTTCATTGCATTGCATTGTTTATACTTGGAATTGACTTGTATGTTGTATTTGATCCCCTACGTTGTATGATCCCTATCTCCCATTGGCCTATGCTTTGCTTGAATTCACAAGGACACAAGAATTGTGTCTTAAGTGTCTCTGCTGAGCTATATGCTCACCCCTATATCTATATTTTTTTTTTCAGGTCTTGGCAAAGAACCGGTGGACGACAATCCACCCCAATTTTGAAAGTTGTAGAAGAGCATTTTCCTTGTTATTTTGTAATAGACTACTCCTTTGTTCATCCCTCATTTTTGTAAAATTCCAAAGGTGTAATGATGTAAATTTCTTTTGAAGAACCATGATCATGTAATACACTTATGATACTTGATGACATATGGGATGCGAACTTGATGATATGTAACTTGTTGATGAATGGAAGGATAATCCTAGCTTGAAGCATTGTCTAGATTAGTAGGTTATATCATTATCTTTTATTGCCGTGAATTCGAAAATTAGTTGCATGACAGGTTAAATATGCATTTAAACAGGTTGCGGTAGGTCCATTTTTAGAGAAGGTTATGCCGAATTTTTTTTTAAGAAAAAAAAATTCTTGGCATTAGTTTTGGGATCGTTACATCTATTACTCAAGTAATACCTGGAACACTGATTCCTCAAAGTTGACCTCATCTTCTACACACATGCATATTTTGAGCTTAATAATATATTTAGGATATATTACACATCTAAATGTGCAAGAATTATGTATCACCAGAAGCAGTACAGATGAGAACTTTGAGGAATCAGTGTTGCAGCTATTGCCTGAATATTGGGTTTGACCTCTTTCAGAACCACTAGCACCACCATTTGATGAGAAAAGAAGTGGAGGAGGTATAAATGTGGATACTGGCATGGTTGGTGGCAGGAATGGCGATGGAACTTTAGAATTGAGCACATCCATGACTTCCCTCATCGAAGGGCGGCTATTATAATCTGGATGAGAACACCAAAGCCCCACAATGATCAAACACTCCATCTGTTTCGCATCATATTTTTCGCCTAATCTTGGATCAGCCACCTCAAGAACATTTCTACTTCCTTAATGCCCCCATACCGCCTTCACCAATCCACCTTGTTAGGTAGTACGCTTTCCACAGGCTATTTCCAAAGCAACAATCCTAAAACTGTAGATATTTGATTCCTTTGTAGCTTTGCTATTCTAGAAGTACTCAGGAGTCATATAACCTGTTGTTCCCATCAAATCTGTTGTTTAGACACTTTTCCGTGTTCTATTAGTCTAGCTATGTGACAACCCAAATTTTTAAGAGATGAATTTTTATTTATGTCATTTGTCATCATTAAATTTTGTTTTAATTGAAGACTTGCCAATTAGAGATTTGGGTTATTGATTATTAAATTGGAGACTATGATTTATATTTAGTCTATTTTAGAGATTTTACCCACATGAGATTTTATTGGTTTGATTTTCTCCCGAAGCATGATTATATATGTTATATATATTTAGTGTATCAGTTGAAGCAATGGGATGCACCTGCTGAATTCAAAGAGATAAAGTTATGGGTTTTTTTTAGTTTGGTTGCATTTTGTATATATATATATATACATGTGATTCAATCTTATAGAAGAGTGTGGTGCTGGTAGCGAGATTGAGAGAAAGAGAATTGAATGGAAAATGGTTATTTCGCGGGGCCCACAGGGAATGATGTTTAAGGAATTATTGTTTTGTTTCATTTTATAGGATATATTTACATATATAGATTGTCTGATGGAGCTAGGAGGAGGGAGCAGCGAAATTGGAAATGGAAAAGGTAGTGTAATGATATTTTTATGGGACCCACAAGATTTATATTTAAAGGGATAATGGGATTTGGTTTTGTATACATTGTATATGTATATATTTATGTTTCTTGTCTGATAGAGGAATCTAGCAGCTGTCGACAGAAATTGTGGCTTTTATTTGCGGGTCCCACTAGGATTTTATTTGGGCAACCTTTTTGACCTTGCTTTGTTCACGTGGGGCTGTTGGAGTGTGTGTTGTCTGTATATCGCAAATCAAAGAGCAGAAGATAATATGAGATCAGGAAAATTAAAGTGGAGAGCAGAAAGTGGTTGGCAGTACATTGTCCTTTCATATTGATATCTTTTTTTTGTAGGTGAGGCTATTATAAATTGAAGGGTTGTGCACTATGAAAACACAGTGACCGAAAGAAAGAGAGTGAGAAAGCCTAAATAGAGACAGAGTGAGTTTAAGGAAAAACAGAGAGGGCCGAGAGTTGCAGAGGGAGGCCGGAAACTTGGTGGCTTGATGATCCAGTCCAGGAATTCTTTTTCAGTGTAAGGTTCTCTATACCTTGAATGGCATGGGGAGGTTTTGCTTTAATGTTTTTATTAAATGTTTTTAATTAAATGCATATGTATTAAATGTATATGTTTATGTTATGAAGCTGTTTTATTAAACCTCCATGAGATTCTTGTTATGGTTTTTCCTACTGGGACTTTTTGTCTCACCACCCTCCAGTTTCAGGTACCAAGGACGAACGGGAATTGCTAGATTCGGGCTTAGGTTGAAGAGTTGGCGTTGCAGGAATTTATTTTTTTTATTTGGAGATTTTTTTGTGTATTTGAGGAAATTAACTTTGTATAAAAGAGGGGGTAATTTTTATGATTCTGGGTATATTTTGATGTATTTAAATTGAATAAATCGAGGATTTTATTGGAATTATCGGGGCGTGACAAGCTAGCCCAAAATCCCCAAGCCTAGCTTTAAAATTCATATCTAACAAAACGTTGCTCGATTTGACGTCTCGGTGCATCACACAGTGTTCACATTCCTCTTACGTATAAACCATGGCCGATTCTAGGCCTAACGCGACCCTGGACCTCTCCTCCCATGTCAACAAGCGTTCTTCTTTGAAAAGATGAAATCCAATCTCTTATTTGGCATGAAATCATAACCAATGATAACTTCTTTTTCTTTATCATGACCCCAACCAATGAGTTTCACTAAGATCCTGTGCCTCAATTCGCTAATGCTTTTAACTTCCGAGACATACTCCTTCATAACTTGCCTTGACTCTGGAATTATCTTTTTTACAGTAAAATTGGAGTTGGTATCATTGAAGAAGCCTTTGTAAACCTGTCTGAACCCACCCTCTCCAAGCAGCACTCATCTGCAAAATTATTGGTCATGACAACCAATTCCTTTTATGAGAACATCCTAGGTACTTCCACCCTGGCCAACTCATTGTATTGCACTCTTGGGATATGTACACGATCAAGCCCCTTATGCGCAACTCGCAACTATATGAGTTAGCTATCCATCAGGATGGGAAACTTGACATAGGATTGTTTTCAGTTTTCATTCTATTCTTTGACATCCAATAACCAAACCATACCAGAGCAGGAACCACGGAATTTGTTATTTCCGCTTGTTCTCAATCTGTATAATTAGCATCATTTTTAGTATTGTTATTGCAAGTGTGAAGAACCATAACTTGAGCAAAGAGTTTGGTAATGAATGCTGTAGCTTTAATTTCTATACTTGCATATTTGCCATTTTAGGTGTTTTTTAGGACAACAAACTATTACACAACTCATTCTGCATTCCAATCTCTGAAAATTTTGACAGCCATACAATGGGGTGCTTAGCTCTTTGTAAAACTTTTATCCTATTCATGCTTTGCATTCCATTCAATTGCTGAATATCCAGTTCAATGGCGAAAAAGCCAGAGCGGAAAACATAAACTTCGGAATTTTACAACCACCATTTCAACCAATCAAAAAATATTGTAATATTCGAACATACCTTTAGTTCCCTTAAAATCAGGCTATTACTTTTCTATTCTTATCACTAGTCTTATGCTTCCTCTGTTAGAGGATATGTTCAGAGAACATGTATGCTATGATAAACCTTTTTTTTTTTTTTGTAATCTTGGGAAGTCAATTTTCAGATTACAAGGTGATCTTCCACTTCATTTTCATCTTGTCCAGTTGTTCATACTTTTAGTTTGTGTTCACATATCCAGAGTCGTTATTTAAATCAAAGGGTTAATGTGGATATTAGACCTTGAATTGTTAATTGCTTATTGAGATAAGGATTATCAGAGGATTATTTTATAGAATTTGCAATTTGTTAAGGCTCATGGTTGGTCATTCTATGCTTCAACCAGAAGTGACTAAAGTACATGAGCGCGACTATGCGGGAGGGTCAGAACTAGCAGAGACTAGCTTGTTTTGAACTAACAGAGACTGCTTGTTTCTGTTGGAATTTTTTTTAAAAATAAAAAATTCCCTTATTATCATATACAAGGGTTTCATAGCCCTTTTCAACCCAATGGCGGACGCTATAAGAAACTCCTACGGAATTCTTGAAGTAATCAATTGTTTAATCCTAAATTAATGCTTTACTCCGGATTTCTTATTTTCTATAAGTTTTTTTTATATTTTATTTTATTTTATTATTATTATTTTTTTTATTGATTTACACCCTACAGTTTCTTCGCTGAGCAACAGGGACAACTACACAAACCTGTCTCTCTCAGTACGTACCCTCTAGCTCAACCATGGAAATTCTCAAATACGAGAACAGAACTAAATATCATTTCCCTCCAAATATTCTGGTTCGTGCTGTGTTCAAGATCTATGTTTTTCTCTTCCTACTTGTCATCCCCTTTGCAAAACCACTAAATTACGAAAACACCACCTTCATATTCAACAATTTCGATGAAAAAATGGATGATATTATATACCAAGGAGATGCAAACACGTCAAACCAAGTCATCCAACTTGCAATTAAGAAGGAAGGTGAGGGTCACAGAGGGAGCTTTGGTCGAGCCATCTATAAAAAACCAATAAAGCTTTGGGACAATGCCTCTGGAAATCTTGCAGACTTCAACACCCACTTTTCCTTTCTAATAGACTCGCGAGATATCTCGAATGATTTTGATGGTTTTGCCTTCTTTCTTGCCCCCACCAACTCCCAACTCCTTCCTACCTCAGGAGCTGGCAATCTTGGCCTGGTTACTTCCAACCCATCATTTGTTGCTGTTGAATTCGATACGTATGCGAATGAATGGGACATAAATGACCATTTGCTCTCTGATCATGTGGGTATTGATGTCAGCAATATGAGATCCGTAAATGCCGTGGAATGGTCTTGGAGTGATGTTCAAAATGGGCAAAGAGCTAAAGCTTGGATTAGCTATAATTCTAGTTCAAAAAATTTTAGTGTTCTTGTGACTGATGATAGTAGTGCTACTTCAAATTTCCTTAGTGTTTCCTACACCATTGATTTGAAGCAACATTTGCCAGAGTGGGTGACTATTGGATTTTCTGGTGCCACTGGATATGTTATGTATGAGCTGTACAACATCATCTCATGGGATTTCAGCTCTACTCTGCAAATTGCTGAGAAGGTCTCTGGAAGAAAGAAAAACAAGAACTGGCTGTGGATTGTGCTCGGTGTTGGTGTTTGTTCTGTGGTTCCTGCTCTCGTATGGTTTGGCTATTGGATGTCAGAGAAGAGAAGGAAAACTGAAAACAATCCTATATCCGTGGACTATGAGCTGGGAAGAGTGGAAGTACCGAGGAAGTTCACATACAAGGAATTGGTTGCTGCGACCAATAGTTTTGCAGATGAAGGGCTGCTTGGAGAGGGTGGGTTTGGACAAGTTTACAAAGGATTCTTCAGTGATACCAACTCCATTGTTGCTGTTAAAAAGATAATTCCAGAGTCAAGGCAAGGCATGAAGGAGTATGTTTCGGAAGTTAAAAGCATTAGCACACTGAGGCACAAGAACTTAGTGAAACTCATCGGTTGGTGTCATGATCAAGGAAAAGAACTTCTCATTGTTTACGATTTCATGCCAAATAAGAGCTTGGATTTCCATCTTTTCAAAGAACAATGCTTGTTGACATGGGAGGAGAGGTACAGGATTGCGTTAGGCCTAGCATCGGCATTGGTTTATATGCAAGAAGAATGTGACCAATGTGTGCTGCACCGGGACATCAAATCGAGCAATGTTTTGTTAGATGTGAATTTTAATGCTAGGCTTGGGGATTTTGGGCTTGCTAGACTCATAGAACACGGACAAGTGTCTAAAACAACGGATTTGATTGGGACACCAGGTTACATGGCTCCTGAGTACCTTCAGAATAGCAAAGCTACCAAGGAATCTGATATCTACAGTTTTGGGATTGTTGCTTTGGAGATAGCATGTGGAAAGCACGCTATCAAACAAGGTGAAGCCAATGGAGAGAAATTTCTAATTGAATTGGTGAAGGTGGTATGGGGGCATTATGGATGCAGAAATGTTCTTGAGGCAGCTGATCCAAGATTAGACGGAGAATATAATGCGGAACAGATGAAGCGTTTGATGATTGTAGGGCTTTGGTGCGCTCATCCAGATTATAATAGCCGCCCATCCATGGGGCAAGTCATGGATGTGCTCAATGCTAAAGCTCCATTGCCAGTCCCGCCACCAATCATGCCAGTGTCCACTTTTGTTCCTCCTCCAGCTCTTTCCTCGTCACAGGGTACATCTGGTTCTGAAAGAGGCCAAACCCATTGCTCCGGCAAAAGCTGCACGACTGATTCCTCAGACTTGATCTCATTTTCTTCAGTTTCTGGTGTAGACATATACTAAATATATTAAGCTCGAAATATGTATGTGATTTTTTTTTAGCTCTACTTTAATTTCTATGTTCACCTATTTTCAATTGTAGGTGTTGTTTGGAACACAACATTTTGTTACGTAAGCCTCATTTTGCATTTCAATCTGTGAAAATTTTGACAGCCATACAGTTCAATCTCTATTCGTGTCTTTTCTTCCATTCGATTGCTGAGATCCAGTTACATGGACAAAAAAATAAAAGGGGGAAATAAAAAAGTGTTGTAACATTCTAAATTTCTAACATACCTTTAATTCTCATAATTAAAATCAGTCTATTACTTTTCTATTCTTATCACTAATCTTATGCTTCCTCTGTTCTTGGATACAGAGAACAGATATACTATAATCAGCAAATTTTATTCAACTAATTTTGGGAAGTCATTTTTCAGAGTACAAGGCGATCGTCTTGTTCAGTTGTTCATAGCATTATGGCGATTGATGAACTACTTGTCATTCAGAGAATAAAAGTTGGGAGTTCACTTTCATTTGATAATGTGGAATGCAAAGTCTAGTTCACACAACTTGTAAGTGGAACAAAAACTTTAGGACCCGTGTCCTAATATATCAAACACACACAAGAAGATAGATTTTATGAGGTTTATCCAAAGAATTAGGATTACGTGCATGAATTTTATTATGTTTAGAAAATGACACAATATAGAGAATTATAAGTACCATACTCACTAGGGGCAATACAATAAGTGCGAAATATACCAAAATGTCTTCCCAAAAAATTTGGTTGGACAAGTCTTGAACCACCACGGTTCACAAATTTAGAATTGTTCTTTTAGGGTTATGGGTGTACTTTTTATATATTCTTTTTAATGAAAATTATGGATGGATTTTGAAACAGTACAAAATCTGCTCCTACCTGTTAATAATAAATAAAGAAAAATATTTTTTATTGGCTAATTTTGTTTTTCTTTTTTTCTTTTCATTCCTTTCATGATAATTTTAAGACTACAATTTTCATAAAAAAATTATCTTGTAACATTGATTTTATTTATTTATTTAAAGAATATATAATATATCATAACACCTTGAACTATCCCCGACTTTGATGCAGGACAAAGTGTGCCGGATTGGGAAGTAAATATTTATTTGTGGAACAAGTTTGGAATAGGAATATCCTAAACCTCTTATAAAGTAACAAAGGCTAGAAATGTCTGGAGCCCTTCATTCCTTTCTTGAACCTTGTTGTGCCGGACGAGAATTACATAGTTTGACTGTCATGTGTCAATTTCTTCAGATGTTGTCACTTGTCAATAAAGGTGAAATATATAATATATATATATATATATATATATATATATATATAATAAAATAAATTATGGAATCAAATATCTTGCATTGGCCGGTTATATATGCTTAAGCAGATCCATCAAATGGGCATAATGTTTGTAGATTTTAAATTACAATTATTGCACAGGAAGTGCCCGAATGAGGACATGTTTGTCATGTTTTATGTATTTAGTTCAATCGTCCAAGATTAGACGGAGAATATGATGTGCAATAGATGGAGCGTATGGTCATTTTAGGGCTTTGGTGTGCTCATACAGAATAATTCTCACGCATTCAGATATGTAGATATATCCTAAATATACTACTAAGCTCGAAATATGAATGTGGTGTGTGTGTGTGTGTTTTTTTTCTTTCTTCTTATTGTTATTACGTATTGTTATTGTAAGCGTGCAATATAGAGTTTGGTAATGAAGGCTGTGACTTAAATTTCTATTTACCGCGATTGTAGATGTTGATTAGGACAACAATCTGTTACACATCTAATTTTTACTCCAATTTGTGAAAATTTTGACAACCATAAAATGGGGTGATTAGCTTTTTATAATACTTATATCCTATTCATACCATTTCTTCCATTCGATTGCTGAAAATCCAGTTCAATGGCAGAAAAGGCCAGAGCTTAAAACATAAACTTTGGATTTTTACAACCACCATTCCAAGTAATAATAAAAATAAGTCTTCTAATGTTCTTCTAATATGCCTTATTAATTAAAGTGATCTCATGATAAGAAAAATCGTTTAAAATATTTGTTTACACAAAATTGGAACATTGGAAGTGCACAGACGTGCCAGAGTCTTGGAAGACTCAGAAATAATTGAATAAAAAGAACCATTTTGAAACGATAAAGTGATGGAATGGTTTTGATTTGCCTTGGATGAAAGGATTTTGATAAAACTACAATGCTAAACTAGAGAATTAAAGTGATGTAATCCTAAGTTGACTATTTAAAAACTTTACAAGAGAAGAATCTATGTTCTATGATAAACTAACTTTTAAATCCATGATTTGCATGCCTTCTTCTAGCTTTGGTCTCTGTTGACACCAAGCGTCTCGTAAATTAGGGCGGATCCAAGGGTGGGTGAAGTTGGACTTCAGCCCCTCCCAATTTTTTTTTTTTTTTTTAGTATACTACTTTAAGCCCAGCCCAATAATAATAATAATAATAATAATAATAATAGTAGCCCAATCTAAAATTTGCTCACTCCATTTAGAAAGGCTGAATTCGTCCTTGCCCATAATTCAGCCCATGTTCGGTCTGTTGTGCATCTTCCGGATTTTGATATGCAGATTTGTTCTTCACCTACCAAATGTCCTATGAATTGTGGCTTGTGAAACTATTGAGTATTTACCCATGGCCTTGTAACTTGCAAACCAACGTTCCCAAGCTTTCCTTTTTAATTTGCATGTGACATGTGTTAACATGTACTCCTATATTATATGAACTAATATTCACCTGGATGTCTTCCTTATTGCTGGACAAGTATCCATGAATCCATTAATGGACCATTAAATTAGCCAACATTCTGCTGTCAACCACGCGTCGGTCCACTTGCACACATTTCTAATGATTTTCGTAACTTGTTGATCCATCACTCTTAATTGTACGAACAAACTCAGCCCACTTATAGCACCCATTATCCTTAATTATAGAAAATACATAACTCCACATTTTAAATCTGATTTATGCTCCACATGTATAGTCCATAATTCCTCATTTTTAGGACTTGTTTGGGGGCTGATTATACATATTTTTGTGGCTGAATTATATAGCCAGCTGGTACTATATTATTTTGTCACATGTGAACTCATTTTTTTCGAGTGTGCACACTTATCATCTGACAGATTACACAAGTGTTGGGATTTCATTTATGGTGCCATGTGTCACCGCATTATTGAATCATAATTTGGTCCGTATGTGTCTTTCATTCATCTCAACCATATTATGAAATGTGGAGTTATGTATTTTCTATAATTAAGGATAATGGGTGCTATAAGTGGGCTGAGTTTGTTAGTACAATTAAGAGAGATGGATCAACAAGTTACTAAAACAAGTATTTTCCACCATATTAAGAGTGATGGATCCACATGTATATCCCCACATTTCATTATTTACCGAAAGATATGAGTTTTGATTTTTTGAACAATATGAAATAATAGGAAGTTCAGAGTTGAGAACGAGAATAGAGATGGAGGCGATTGGGGAGGCTGAAATGATTTGCCCAAAATATATTATTTTTTTCTGGTGGCCCATCATCCATGGGCCTATAAATTTCGAGACCCCATTAAATTTTGAGACCCTAGGCGACCGCCTTTGTCGCCTTGGGTCAGGGTGGTTCTGGACTTATTTAGTTTGGGTCTTTATTTTAGTACGGTGATTGAGTTGACTTGACTTTGATTAGGTGGACTAATTTTGGGGTGAGCTAATATTATTAATAATAATTTATTTATTTATTTTTTATTATTTTTTTTGGTGTTGGACTATTATTAATATAATAAAAAATTTCTTTAGTGGACTCAAGTCCACCAGAGCCCACTCTTACGCCCACCCTTGCATGACCCGATATGAAAAATAACATGGTCAAAGATCCAACCCAAGAGTGCAAACAAACACTATACCACCGTCTTGTGAGTGCAAACAAACACTATACGACCGTCTGGGTATAATCTTCAAGGTGGAGGCCAACAACATACCTTATCCAAACAAGGAACTGTTAAATTGATTGATCTTGAAAGCGCACAAGGAATTACTTCATCTCAAAAGAACTTGCAACTACTTATAACCATATCTCATAAAAATTTATATATAAAATCAAATAAATAAATCTAGTTTTGAAATATTGTTGGTTCATATATTGTCTTGCTCTCAAGATAATTAACAAGAGGAATAAAAAAAATCTAGTTTCCCGTTCCCTATTCTACTAACCATATTCATGTGGTAGATTTTTTTGGCCTCGTTGAAAGTAGAATATCTTGTTAAATTAAACTGAAAACGCAAAAAAAAAGATCAAACATACCCATAACAAGAACACACAATTTTACTTAATTCACTCAAAATTCAAGACTACACTCAAAAGTGGATACAAAGAGTTCAGAATGAATATATATACCTTCGCACTAGGGCAACATAATAAGTACAAAAATTATCAAAATATTTTCCAAAATACTTTATTACTAATAAAGTTCTAAATTTATAAATATCTATTAAAAATAGAATTTCATTGTCTTACTAATTTCCACCCCCCTTGCTGGTACTTGGTAGAGTAATTACCCTTTATTTTTCTTTTATTTTGAGGACAAACCATGTTAAGAAAATGAAAACCAAAGCCTCCAACATGGTTTGCATTCAATGCATTCAAAAATAAGAAAAATTCGGCTGGTCTTGTCCATTAGACTATTAAGTCTCAATAAAATTATCCTTTAAAAATAAAATAAGATGATTGCATCTGGATATTTCTAATATTTCATAATACTCGGTCATAAAGAATAATAATTATGGGTGACCAAAAACTATTTTGCACGTGGGTGCACCTTCCCTATGTTGGATCCTCTTCAGTTTTCTACCTCCTCTTCTTTCAAAAGTGAACGTAGGCGTACGGTTACCATTTTTTTTTTTTTTTAAAAAAAAACTTTAAATTATCGAAATTGGATTATGGTTCGGTAATTGCCAAGG